AGCAGGGTGACTGATCTAGCGTAGCGGCTGGTCTAGCGCGGTAGGTAGATGGGCACGATAACTAGATCGGTACGACGACTAAAATGTTTGATGACAAGACTGGCACGGCAGCACAAGGCTCAGCCTGCCCTCTGGTCAGACAAGCAAAGGAAAGAAAAAGGATAGGTGAAGGCTAGCTTGGCTCTCGCTAGATTTTCCAAAAGAGATGAAAGTGAAGTAAGAGTGATAATGAAATAAGAGTGAGAGAGAAATAAGAATGAATAAAATAAAATTAGAGAAGGTAATTAGAATAAAATGAAATAGGTAAAAAAATAAATTAAGATAAAATGAAGTAAAATAAAATAAAAAAGGATGGAAGAAAATAAAATGAGATGAGATAAATAAAATCAAAGAGCTAATTGAAATAAAGTCAAATAAGTGATTAAAATAAAATAGGATGAAATGAAGTAAATAAATAAAGATAAAATGAGGTAAGATAAATGAAAATAGAGTAAGATGGACTGAGAAGAATGATGGGTAATGAAATAAAAGAGGGTGAAGGGAAGAAAGTAAAGTATTATAATAATAATATATAAATAAAAATGATGCCTTGGTTCAGAGAGCGTGAGAGGGGGATATTGGGTTTTTGTTACGGGAAGTTGCTCGAAGTACAAAGAAACGAAATGAGCCGAAACGAAAAACAAAAAAACGAACAGAAAGAAATCGGGGAAATGCAGAAAGTTAGAGAGAGAGAATAGTGAGGTCAATTGGGTTTTTTTCCTTGAAAGAGAGAAGGGAAGTAGATGGCACGAGGGAGTAGCGGGCAAGATACCACAGAGGGAGGTGGCTGAGACAACTCGTGAGAGGCTGAGAAGGGGGCGGAGATGGCAGCAATGGGGCTGGACTGCGACAGATGATGGAGGAGAAGATGGGGGCGACTGGAAGAGCAGAGACGAGGTGGCAGGCAGGTGGTGGCAGAGAAGATGGGTGGCGGAGAGAGGTGGCGGCAGCAGAGGGCTCAGTGACGGAGGTGAGAGAGTTACAGGTGGTGGAGCAGCAAGGTGGCAAAGATGGAGGTGAGAGAGTTGCAGATGATGGAGCAGCGTGAGAGAGGCCCGTGAGTGGTTGCAGGTGGGCCGATGGCAAGGTCGCTGAGGTTGGGGGATAACAGTCGGCTGAAGAAGAGGGCTCCGCCAGGAAGGTGGACAACAGAGAAAAAGGGGCGAAGATAAGTGGAAGGGACGGTAGCGCATGACAATGCTGGTGCGCGTGATTTACAGTAGAAGGGGTTGTGCTCACGGCAATGGGAAGAAAGCTCGGCAGTGGAGCGCTTGACGGGATGAGGAAGTGGCTCGGCTGGGTTGAGGGCTTGACGGGATGAGGAAGTGGCTCGGCAGGGTTGAGGGCTTGACGGGATGAGGAAGTGGCTCGGCAGGGTTGAGGGCGAGGTGCACGGCAGTGAAAAGTGGTCGCGAGGGTGCACTGGGAGAAGGTGGTCGTGCGGCAGTGTAGGATGATGCGCGGCAGTGAGGTGGTCGTGCGGCAAGATGGAGATTGTCTCACGGGAGCAAGACAGGTAAAAGTGGTCGCGAGGGTGTACCCGGAGAAGCTGGTTGTGCAGGGAGCAAATGAGAGAAAGAGAGTGAGCATGAATGAAACACGGACCATGAAAATGAGGAAAGAGAGAGAAGAACGAAAAAAAGGTTTGGAGGCGATAGAGAGAGAAGTACGAAAAAAAGCGAGGGAGGAGAGAGAAGAGAGAGATTGAAGAGGGGAGAGAAGAGAGAGAAAGAGAAAAGAGAGAGAGTTACTTTTGAGCTTGGGGGTACTAATTTAAAAATTTCTAACATTTTTATTTCTAAAACGGGACTCAACATTGAATAAAAGATAAAATTTTATTAGGCCAAAGTGGGTTCGGTACTGGATGTACGTGCTTGTTTATACATGGCCCAAACATGGGTGTATAATCAAAACTTGACCTAATTACTAAAAAATAACAATTAAGTGAATTAAAAAAATTCTAAAAAAATGGGACAAAATGATGATTTTGCTGTTGTACGAACAATCCACATAATTCCAATTGAGTCTTTGCTGTGCCCAAGAACTCTTACGATCTTCTCGGGTTAGTTCAGGGTCTTTTTTGGTCTCCGTTTGGTCGAAATATGATTTTTTTCTTGAATGGCTCAGGAAGACGGTTGTTTTGATACCATTTTTGAGCCACAGATTGAGTCTTTAGGCCACGATCATGAAGTGTGAAAACCACAAGAAACGTGCAATCTTTTTTTCAAGACTGTGCGTGTTTTTTGGTGTTCTTTGATGATTTCTTCACTGAATATCGACGAGCTAGTCATCGTGAGCATTTGGCAACGAATGTGGCTTGATTTGGTGCCCAAACGACCATTTTCCATTTTTGATCATTTAGCCGGAATTTGGTTTTTGGTGGCTGGAAAGTACAACAACTTCATACTCATCGTGCGTCGAATCTGACCTTCATCAAGTGCAAGGTTCGACTTTGATGAAACCTCAAACCTTGTGCTCGTAATGGGTCTGATTTTGGGTCCATCCGGCGTGCGAGCTCCATGATGTGGCCTCTCGATCGAGGTGTGCTCCTACGGGCCATGCCTTGAATCGCGATCTTTTCTCGTGTTTTTCTCCTAGCTTGGACCATGACATGCCACATATCAAATTGCTCGTGTCAACAACACGTACACGCTCGTAAAATTTGACCTTGATCCGGCTTGGGATAAGAGAGATATGGTCATTCAAAGTTGAGCTTGAAACCCATGAACACAGTTTCCATTAATGGAAACTGGTTCAGTAAGGGTGTATGGTAATAGCATGTGACCTACCCATTTAGGGTAATTTGGCCATAAATTGGTCCAAGAACGTTTGATTAAGCCAAAACTTGATCCATAGGGGTTTTCGGACATTTCGAATCCAATGTCGGAGGTCACACTGTCATTTGACGCTCTGATGATAGGGATGTAGTTATAAGATCCATTTCAAGGCAATAGAGGCTGATTTTCCCAAAATTATTTCTGCATTTATATTGCCTTAAACTCGTCGGATTGCGACGAAACTCGGCAGGTATTCTTAGGAGACCTCTATCAACATTCTTGAACTTTCTTGGGTCATTCTGAGATTGTTGGAAATTTCGCTTATGGATCAGGGCTTATTATCCTACGGCTTCTATAGTCTGTAGGCATTTTGGTACCTGTGGACCTAGGTCGCGTATTGTCTTTCTCTTTATTCGCAACGGGGCTACAAGTGTTAAAAAATACCCTTAAACACATACCTCTTCATGCATGGAATCTATCTGTTATCCAAAGAATTGCTAGACTATGTGGAGACCATTGTGATGTTGATTGGAACTCAGTTAGCGGATCGGACAATAGATTTGCTGGAGTTAAAATTTGGAGACTTAACAATATCATTATCCTAAAAAAATTGAATTCTAATTGAGTAGATTTCTTTTGATATTTTTGTTTTGATTGAGGGGCACACTTTGAAAGTCCGGGATAAAGGCAAATCTATTGTATTAGAGAAAAATGTTAAGAACTGTGAAGATTGGCAGCAAGTTCCTGCACAAAAAGGTAAGAGACTTTTTGGCGATGGTTCTACTGGAGCTTCGCTTCTGACAATGAGGCTCAGAAATGGCAGTCCCGGAAGTCAAGGAGGAACGTAAATCACTAACGTTTCAAAAAATTGCAAAATTTGAAAATCACTCAGAGGTGGATTCCTGTGGGACAGTTTCTAAATCATATGCCCACACTTTCGAATAAGTCGGTTTCTAAGGAAGGTGACGGCGTGGTGAGAATTAGTGATCACTCAGATTCTCATGCTTTTTGTAAGCAGTTATCAGTGAGCAATCGCCCTTCTATTGACTCATCCACTTCTCTTAGGGTGTGTTTGACACATGGAGTTTTTGGGAGTGGAAGGGACTCTCCCACAAATTATGGATGACTGTTCTTCCACCATTTTTTTTGGAAGAGAAGTCTTCCAAAAATGAACCCATTTTAACACTGAGAAATAACTGCATGGAAGGGCGCGCTTCCACTTTATAGCTTCCACACAGTAATATCAAACATGGAAGTGGGATATTTAACTCCCATTTCCATAAACTTCCACTTATCAAACACACCCTTAGGGTCAACTTTGCCACAAATAGACCTTGGGACCACCAAATAGAAAAGTTGATTTAGGAAAAGGTGGTGGGGAGATTTTCTCGGGTACCCGTGTTCAGCCTCTTAGGAATGATGGATTGTCGTTGGAAAGTGACACCTTGCCTTGCTTTTCCTTGTTCCTGTCCCATCAAACCCATTATAATAATTTGCCTAAGGGAGCAGAGCTTGCCATTACTATCTGGTTTTCGGTAGTGGTAAACTTTTGTGCTTCTTTTAACTCTAAACTCTCTTACTGGTTTCTGGTGGTTTTTGCCTCTGTGAAGATCTATCCTTTGCCTTATCGGTTGCTTTAAAGGGTCAAGGAGGCTATTCTAGGATAAGGTTTGATTCGCTCCCCATTGATTTGGCTTTGGTTGTTCTTGACACGATGGAGGATGCTGTGGTTCATGAGGGTTAGGGGTTTGAAGAAGCTATTGTAGAGGCTGCATGCATAGTGGATGAGATGATTGACAATATTGCTGAAGAAGAGGACCTCGATGATGTTGAGAATGACGATGTTATGGTTTCTAATTTTGCTCTGGTTGAGGCAAAGGAGTATATTCTTCCTCAGCCGGAGCAGATGCCTGTGTTGTTATCATAGAATGCTTACCCCCTAGTAGATGTAGCTAATGAAGAGGCTGACCAAGCGAAGGTGGATGTGGCTGATGAAGAGGCTGACCAAGTGAAGGTGGGAGCCATGATGGGTGATATGGGTATGGATTTTGAGGTTCCTTTTGGTATGGTTTTAGATGAAATCAAGGAAAAGAAGAAGGCTAGAGCAGCAGAGAAGCAATTTGTTACTGCTGAACCTGGACTTTTGCTCTTAACACCCCATGGAAGAATACGGAGAAGCAAAAAATGGCGGTGGTTTTTGGTTCGAGGTCATCTGCTCGTCTGAAGTCTATAGGTATTATCAAAAGCACCTTGAAGTCCAAGAAGGTGTCCTTGTCCAAGATAGAGGTGGTGGACCTGAGCAGTGCTTCTGATGTCTTTGAGTCTGTAGCTTTGGCAGAGGCTCTAATGCTAGAAGAAGCTTACTTCGGATCTTGTGTTAAAGGTCCATGTTCGACTTCTAAAACTCATGTTTAAATGATTATACTTTCTTAGAATGTAAAGGGTCTGGATGACCATAGACGGAGGAGTGATGTTTTGCTTTTAATTTCTAAATTCAGACCTGATATCTTGATATTACAAGAGACCAAATTGCACTGCTCAACAGTTTTTGGGTTGTGGGAAATTTGGGGCTTAGGGTCTGTTAACGTTTTGGATATATATTCAGTAGGTGCTCCAGGGGGTTTGTGGATTTTTGGGACCCTTTTGTTTTGTAAAGATTTATGTTAGTTGTCAGGATAGGTTTTTGTTAGTTGGTTTTATTGGACCTTTAATGAGTTTCTCGTAGGGTTTGCTGAATATCTACGGTCCTAATTTACCTATCCTTAAAGTAGGATTTATCTATTATCTCTCTTCTGTTTTGAGTGATTTTTTTATTTTTATTTTTTGCTTGGGGGGAGATTTTAACCTCATTTGGTGGCTAGATGAGTCTTTCGTGTTGCCTTCCCTAAACTTTTATATGAGACTGTTTAATGGTTTTATTGAAAGATATTCGTTGCTGGACCTCCCAATTTCAGGAACGCTCAAATAATAGTACGGTCTATCTTGCTATATCCAAATTGGATAGATTTCTAGTATCCCAAGAATAGTCAGAAGTTGTCCCTTTGGCTTCTGTTCATGCTCTTACTAGACTCTCCTTAGATCATACACCCTTGATGTTGGTTGCTAAAGTTGTTACTGGTGGTCCAAAACCTTTTCATCTTGAAATTGGTTGGTTGGAAAAGAAAGAGGTTGTAGACCTCATTTGTCACTCTTGGGAAAATACCGTTTCTGTGGGATCTGTTGACTTTCAGTTGCATAAGAAGCTTTTAGAGATTAAGAAAAAACTGATTGGGTGGAAGAAGGAGAGTAGATATGTTGTTAAAACCAAAATTGATGAGGTTCTATTAGATATAAAAATGTTGGATCTTAATATTCAGCAAGAGGGTGTTTTGACAGAAGAGATGAGCATGAAAAGGAACTCTAAACATACGTTTCTTTTTTACTTAAAAAGATTGGAAGACATTTATTGGAAGCAACGGTCTAGGATGAAGGGATTGAAAGAGGGTGATCGTAATACTAAGTTCTTTCATGCTATTGCTAATGCCCGCAAGAGACAAAATGATATCTCGAGCATCACCATCCCGGGTGTTGACCTTGATGATAGTCTAGCGATGGAGAGGGCAGTAGTTGACCACTTCAAGAAGGCTTTTAACTTAGATGTGTCTTTTACCCAGAAGTTAAACATGGTACCTTTCAAATGCCTTACACTTAGACATGTTGCTCAGCTCGAGGTTGAGGTAATAGTGGAGGAACTAAAAAGAGCCATTTTTGATTTACTAGGTGATAAGGCACCGAGCCCTAATGGATTTCCATTAGTCTTTTTTCTAGAAGTTTTGGAGTTTGACTTACTTGAGCTTGCTTGAAATGGTGCGGGAATTTATGAGATGGGGGAGTTATCTAAATGGGTCAATTCCACATATATTGTCTTAATTCCTAAAAAATATGTGATTGCTGGTCTTGGTGATATAAGACTCATTAGCTTGCTTACAAGCTTATATAAAATTGTGGCAAAATTTTTGACGGAAAGGGTAAAAATTGTACTACCTGTGGTTGTATCAAGCCCACAATCAGCTTCATTTAGGGCAGGTTTATCACAGATAGTACTTTGATAGCACATGAGTACACTCATTCTAGGTTGATAAGCAAAATCCAGGGGTAGTTATTAAGCTAGATATGGAGAAAGCCTACGATAGAGTTGAATGAGATGTACTCTTAGAAGTGATGAGGAAAATAGGTTTTGGGAAAAAATGGAGGAGTTGGATTTATTGTTGTCTTTCTTCAACTCATTTCACTGTATTGTTTAAGGGTTCTCTCACTAGACTTTTTAAAGCTTCTAGGGGTTTAAGGCAAGGTGATCCACTTTCACCATTTTTGTTTACCCTTTATGTGGAGTGCTTCAGTTTGATGATTATAAATATAGAGGGGAGTGGGTATTTCAGTGGTTTCTCGATTAGGGTTAGTGAAATTCAAATCTTGCACTTATAATATGTGCATGATATCCTGATTTTTTGTGATGTAGATGCATTGCAGGTTAGTAATATTGCCACCTTTTTCAATATCTGTGAGGTCACGATTGGAATAAAGGTCAACTTTAGCAAATCATCCCTGATTGGTATTAATAGTATTGAAGAGTTAGTTCAGGATTTGGCCGAGGCTTTGGGATGTAAGGTAGATCATTTCCCAATCACTTATTTGGGTTTGTCTATTTCGGATAGAAGATTATTTATTTCTACTTGGGATTTAGCCTTCTATCGTGTTCAAATTAAGTTGGATCTTTGGAAGCCAAAATATATGTCTTTAGGAGGAAGGGTTACCCTGTTACAGTCGTGTTTAGCAAATTTTCCCATTTACTAAATGTCTTTCCTACAACTATTTGTAAGAAAATAGAAAAGATGATGCATGACTTCTTGTGGGGCTCTTATGGTGATGATAGAAAATACCATCTTCTGAGATGGGATAGAGTTTGTACCCCAAATAGTGAAGGAGGTTTGGGGATTGCGAGAGTTAAACTTGTAAACTAGGTTCTACTATACGAATGGTGGTGGCGGAGTCTCCTCTTTAAAGATCATTTATGGTTTAAAGTTTTGGCTGCAAAATATGGAATGGATAGACATGGCATATAGTTAGGAGTTGGTAGTGGTGAAAATGTGTCTTTCCTTTGGAAAACTATTGCTCGCTGCAAACTTTTCATCGAAAGAAGTATCAGATGGATAGTTGGTGACAAATCTCACATATCTTCTGGCCTCATAAGTGGTTGGAGAAATTTTCTTTGAAACTCTTATTTCATGACATTTTTGAGAAGTTAACCAATCCAAATGCCATGGTTGCTAACATTTTTTAATGAGAGGGCGACCATGTTTTTTGGAATGTGAGCTTACCATATAACATGTTGAGTGATGATTTTATTGTGCAACTATCTTCCCTCTTGGAAATGTTGAAAGGTGGTTACGTTCTGACTGCCTTGGATGATGAGGTTATATGGGAGGAGGGACGTGATGGTGTGTTTCAATGAAGTCTAGCTACAGACTTCTCTTCCATGATCGGTGAAGGTAGGCAATGCCTCAGTTGTCTCAGATATGAAAATGGCCGATACCCCGTAAAGTTCAGATCTTCATACGGCTTGTGGCACAAGATAATATTCTCACTGTGGATAATCTTATTAAGAGAGGGAAAATTCTTCCAAACATTTGTTTGATGTATAAGGAAGCCGGGGAATCTGAGCCTCACCTTTTTTTTCCATTGCTAAGTTGTATTGAGAATTTGACATTGGTTCTTGCTTATGATGGGTATTAGCTTGTCACTGCCTCAAAATGTTATCGGTATTGTAACAAACCTCTCCATTTCTAGTAATGGGCGCATTTTTGAAAGAGAATGCTTTCCCTTTGAAAGGATCATTCTAAAGATCAAGCATTCCCTTTAATGTTGGTTGGTTGCAACAAAGAAAGGATGGGGAATATAAGACATGGATGTTATGACACTGCTCCACAATTTGATGTCTTCGGGCGGGCGAGGATTAGGTCGAGGATTGTGTGGTGTCCACCTCCGCATGATATGCTGAAGTTAAACTTTTATGGGAGCTCACACGGAAATCCAAGGGTGGCAGGTATTGGGGGAGTTGTTCATGATTCCAATGGAGTTGATATTCTCTCTTTTGCATGACCAATTGGAGAAGCTACTGCTATCTTTATTGGCCCTTTTACAAGGTTTAAAGCTTATTCTTTCTAATTTTCGGGGCAGACCTTGTGCTGTTGAGGGGGATTCGCAGAATACTATTAAATGGTGTAAAAAAGAGACAAGTGTTCCTTGGGAACTCAAATCTATTTGGCTTCAAATCCTTGATCTTGGGATATTTGTTCATGCGATTTTTCAACATGTTTTTAGGGAAGCTAATTGCTTGGTTGATTCCCTTGCCAAAGGGGGCACATCTCTTTCTATTCCTGATAATGTAATCCCATTTGGGTAACCCCCTTATTTAATAATATTTATGATCTTTGTCAAAAAATAAAAGAGAATAAGCAGAGTTAGTATCAAACTTCCATGGAAAAAAAATGCTGTTTGGAAATATTTTGAAAATTTGAAGAAGAAAATGTGAAAATTAGTTATAACTAGTTTTCCAAATAAACATTAATTTTTATTTAACTAATTTAAATAGGAGTCATAAATTAAATTTAATAAATTCTTAATTTGATAGTATAATTTTTTTTATTCTAGTTCACTATTTTTTTTTTAGCAAAGATAGCATAATTCAATTTAGACATTTCAAAAATTTAGATTAAAGTTATGAATAAATACTTGTTTGCCGCCATATTTCTACACAGCAAATAAGTAATGCAAAATGAACATACGGCTCACATGGGTAGTATGCAACATTAAAACAAATGAGGAGAGACAATCAGAGAATTTTAAAACAAATGAGGAGAGACAATTAGAGAATTTTAAAAAGCCCCTTTTGTTTCCGCATTGGGGTCTTCCTCTTTGTATATGTTGTTGAAACTTAAAAGGCTTCTGACTGCTAACTCCATTATTTGTAACCATAAAAAACTAAGCCATCAAGGAGGTCTAGATTGTAGAGATCATTGAAGACTTTGAATTAATGTATCATATATAGAAAGTGTATATTTCATAGACATGTTACTTATTGTAATTTATCTTTCTGTGCAAGTTAACTTACGGAGCAAGTTACCTCTGATTATATGTTATACATGTTAATAATAATCCATAGAGAGAGATTTTTTTCTTTGCCTCATTAGGTATTTGACATGGTATCAGAGCCATAACAATGATTTTAAATTCATAAAGGCCTAAATATTAAAATTCACCAAATGGATAGTCTATATATTTTATTGGAGCGGACTCATTTTGACGACATCTAAGGTGCAAATTGAATTTCATCATTTAGGATTGATTATTGGGATGATGCGAGTGTGGTGCAACACTTATAAAGGTCTTACAAATGCCACAAATATAGTTTTCTAGAAGTGTGGTTTGATTGTATCATAATGACATAGTGACATGCAATCAATTCCTTTAGATAAATGTACCTTACTGACTTGCATGCAGTGGTACTTAACGAGTGCGTACTACTACCCAAAAATAGGAGTGAGCATGCATGCTGAATAGTAAATTTTCATAAAAGTGATGTGCTCTGTCTTTTTTTTTCCAATTCATTAAATCATAGGCATATGCATATCCTATTCATATGAGTACTCGCGCCGTTACACGAGGATGAAGGACTAGTTTAAGTGCTTGTTTTCCTAAGGGTGGGGGAGTGTAAGTGATTGCTACATGATTCTAGCTTGAGTGGATGGGTCTCATGTCTGCTTCATGAAGTGGACAATTGGAGTCTATTAATTGGAAGTCAGGTCTTAAATTGAGTGTAGAGTAGAAGTTCATATTATCCCTTATATCGAAGAGTGGGAAAGCCCTATTACAAGTTATACTAACTCACCTGACCGGAGGAAAGGAAGAGATAGACCTCTTAAGCGAGCTAAAGAGTAGGCTTCAATCGGCAAGCCTGCCAAAATCAGTCTTCCTACGACCCTATGCTCAAGCTTCCAACATAGAATCCCCTCGCTTCGCTCCCATACCGAAGAGAGAGATAAGCTAGACTACTTTTCTAACCGAAAGGAAGGAAGGAGAGCCATACTGATTCATCTGACAGAAAAGAAGGGGAAGCCCTCAGTCGGCCCTCCCCCAGGCCTTTGGCTCTCTATATCCGCTTGGGATTCCCCCCCCCCCCCGCCGGCCCTGGGAGTGCCTCACTCAGGCTTCCTATTTCGAAACACTAAAATGCTTATTGAAGCTCCTCTTCTATTTAGTTAAGGGAGGAAAACAAGTCTTATTGAAGTATGAGAGAGAAGTATGAATTCCCTCCATTGTGCTTATGTTTGCTTAGCGAACTCTAGGGCCTCCTACGTAGGGGCAAGGGACTCAAACAAAAGGAAAGAAGTTTCCCCTCGCTTCTTGTATGGTTTTCCCCCTTTAAGCAAGATGATCCCTTTATCCTCTTTTAAAGAAAGCTTACGAGCAGACCCCTTAAGTAAGAGCAAGCCCTTAAAAGACACGGAAGAGCGGCCCCTTACCCTTCCCATAAGGCAAGGAAAAGCTTCCGCTGTCCCTCTTAAAGCAAAAGGGAGCTTACGCTTATCTCTAGCCTTCCTCTTGTGCTTCCTTTAAGTTAAGTGGGTAGGCTTAAGAGTTAGTTCTTTTATCTGACTAAAGGACGGGAAAGAAGTACAGAGTCCCTCCCATGTTCCTGCGTTCGCTTAGCGAACTCCGGGGTGTCCTTCGGAGGGATGAGGTTACAACTCCCAAGGCAAGAAGGGCTTTCCTCTCTTTTATTTTTCTTTGTTTTCCTCCCCTAAGTTAGGTGAGTACATCCCTCTTTTAAAGAAGGAAAAAGTTTTTCTAAGGTTGCAACCTTAAAATATAGAATTACAGATGCACCTCAAAGATCCATCGAAAAAATTTGTTTTAATCTTGAAAAACCCTCTAATTGATCATCATGGCATCGACATTCATGCAAATGAAAAAAAAAAGATTTTGAGTCATAGAAATAGTGCATTTTGCAACATATTTTCGAGACCATCTAATTTCAACATTTTCATATGTTCATAAATCTACTTGATTTTAACCATTTTTTGGATTCTAAAATTTTATAATTAGATATGAAAATAGATTTTCAAATAATACTACGAATTTTTTATATCAAAATCAAATAAAATTTGGAGGTGCACATTAATTGGATTGTTTAAGGTTGCAGCCTTATAGAAACCACATCCTTAAAAGAAAGACAAGACCTGGATCTTTTGGGACAATTTTCTATACTTCCCCTACAACATAGAAGATCTATGCTTCCCCTACCATCCAGCCGTCCAATTTTGATCAAGAGAGCCACTCACCATTTGATTTTAGATCCGACGTCTCAAAGTATTTTATTTTTAGTTTTTTTTTATATAAATTGTATGAATATGAAATTTGGTACGTGCCATTGTGATTGGACGCACAAAATTTGATGTCAAAATAGTTTATAAAAAAAAATTAAAAATAAAATAGTGTAGTGACGTGACATTGTGATTAGGGCAATCTTAGCCCTCTTTTCAGAGTGGACGGCTAGATAAAGGGAAATATATAAGTTTTCCATTGTAGGGGAAATATAGAAAGCTTGCCCGGATGTTTTTAGGGTGAGAAAAGACATGTTACGGAGTTAATTCCATTGAATAACGTCAAAAAATTAGGACCTCCATGGAAATTCAGTTTTCTCGTGGTGAGCCATCCATAGGAGGGTAAACTTGTCTTTGTTTTTTTTAATTTTTTGGGGTCGGGGTATTAGTCAGGTCGGGGTGGAGTGTTTAGAAAGTATAAATTGGGGGTATTAGTAATTTTAGTGAGAATCATTTTTCCCACGTGTAAATGGCCAAAACTCACGCATATAAACGTGTGCCGCACGGATCGAGAATTGGCGTACTTCATAACTGGTTTTTCCTCCTTTTCTTCTCGCCGAAATTTCAACTGCAGAGGGATTTGTTGAGGTTAGAGAGAGAGAGGGAAGGATTCGTTCAGAGAGTGAGAAGAAGGACTTGTTCACAATGGGGTGCTCCGCTTCCGTTCCAGGTACCGTCGATCTGCGAAAATTATTATTGCTGTGTCGTTTAGATGAGTTATCCTTCTTCCTTGTTGTCTTTTATTTCGTCATCTCTCTCTAAAATTGCTGTCTTTGTATACAATACTTGTTGATGGTATTGAATTGGCGATTTCTCTGCTTAAAAGCTTGTCGAATTCTTTTGAGGTTGTTTGTTTGTTTTTTTTTTGTTTGAGAATTGTTAACTTATTTGACTTTTGTTTTGGTGGCTTAAATTTCAGGAATTGCGTGCTAAAATCACTCAAAAATCACATTCTTTGTAGAATTTTTGCATCAATTTCCTTTTATTTGGGAATTGTTAATTGCGTTGTGATATCTTTTGTGAGACAGTCATCTATTTCTACTTGATTGGATTTTTTCTTAATATCATGGTACGCAGAGGAGAGAAAATAGGAGTATCAGTGTGTTAAGTAAAGTATTTGTTATTATTATGTTCTTTATGGATGCTAAGTGTTTGCTTTTATAGTACATGATATTTAGATTTCATTCATTGAAGAATGAAGATGAGGACTATAAAAGGGAATTCTGCACATCAGAGTTAAATGTCACCTTTGTTATATGTTTTTCAAAATCTAGATACCATAAATGGATAACCTTGTTGGTGTATTATCGAGTCGGTGGGTTCAAGCAATTAAATCTAATTTCCATGTCAAAATTTATTGGGTTGCTTGGATAAATGGTCATGTTCATGGCTGATTTAACCTGCTTATGTATGCATAAAGCACCTAATATATGCTCGACAAACCACTCATTTCTTGGGATCTTTCTGAGGACTTCTTTTTGTATTTAGTTGGCAAAGCATAGATGATTGATTATTTAGCTAGTGAAAGCAAGTACAAAATATGTTTAGGAGGACAGATTGGAGAATATATACTCTCCAAAAAGGCATATTGGAAAATCCATACTTCCCATTTGATTGAGTGCTTCTTTTGAATTATCTGATTGAATAATTGGCAGTGTGCTTTATATTTTTCTGTTTGGGCTCTTTAACATGGAACTGATGCACCTTTTTCCTTACAGGTAGAAGCTCTGGACTGTTGAGTGGACCAAACCTTGAGAATTCTGCAGTGTTTGACGCAAAGAACTTAAGGGTAAAGGTATGTTGTTGTTGTTGTGAATTAATTTTCATTCCCCCGCATGAGATCCTAAAATGGGGTTATATGCATTTCTGATTGGTAATTGTGTCAAATATATTGGACCTTAATCATTACAAAGAAGTCTCATGGAGCACATTTGGCCACTCACTTTTTTGAATGTCCGCCGACTTCTTTTGATTCTACCAACCAGAAAATGGGTTGCTGTATTTGTGATCCATTGATTTGACCACCAGTAGTGTTGGGTGGATTCTTAAAATGTAAGTGGCCTATAGTGCTCCCTAAGTCATAAAGTTACATTGCAAATTCCATAAATGTAACTTGATTATGCATTTTAATCTTTTTATTGAAATATGAGTTTTCTTTAACCTTGATGCTTATGGACTTGAATATAAATTCTTGTTTTCTGTTATCGTTGTTAATACACCTACAGTGAAAGGACATGCCTTTTATTCTTAGAAAAACTCTGCTTATGCAAATTGAGTTGTTGGCAGCTGTATGTATGATGAGCATCCTTGCCTAGCTGTCGTATTACCCTTTGTATACATTTGTTGAGTTATGTAGCTTCGCTTGTCAATAAATGTTAGTTCTTCTGGACATATATTAAGGTGCCTTTGGTAATGAAGCTACAGCATTTTCTCTTTCTCTTCTCTATTCTGTATGGATGATACATTTTGCTCTTTTAGACACTTTCACTCTTGCTTTCCCACAAATCTAGCTTCTAAGTTTAGGATTTGTGAGTTTGACCTAGAATGCAATTAGGGGCATTTGAGTGGATTGCTTATTTAGTGACAAGATTGACAGAGAGTTATTACGCATTGTTGGGCTTGTGTGATTTGGTTATTACATTGTGGCTAAAGCTAACATTCTTTTGATGAGCCCCAAAGTTTTTGTTCTCTTCTTCTTTGGCCCCTGATTATGGAGGGTGATTTGCTCATGTCTCTTGATGGCCTGAAAGAGGAAAATTGCTTTATCCCTAGAGATTCTGTAGTTTCTGGGTGATATTTTAATGAGAGGGGAGGAAGATCAATCTCATTTCCAGTTTTCTCTGCATGCTCAAAGATAGTAACTGCAATGCAGATTTTTCCTCCCAGTTTGGAGGACATTCATTCAATAGGAGATTGGTTGTGCTTCATGTTTAATCAGTGGTCTGCCAACTCTTGTCCTTAACTCAGTTTCCCAATTAGAAAAACTTCCTTTGGTGAGTACCTTTTGTTGGTCATCTTGGAGTGTTTGGTTGCACATGTTATGTTCACCTTCCTTGGAACTTTAATGCTGGGTTCATTAGGTTTGTCATCCTGATAGTGGCCATCTTTCATCAAGGGATATAGATGTTTTGGACTGAAAAAGGAAAAGGCATTACGTCTCATTTTATTTGATTCTTTTCTTTTCCTTTTTTTTTTTTTAACGTTCCATACTTTGTTGATGATGAGAAAGGATCATATGATATCCTTTAAAGGGAGTAAAGCATCGTTATAACTGAGCATGTCATTGTTCCATTGTTTCCAATTCATGTCCTAGCAAGTTGACCTTCATAGGAAGCTGGACCACCCCACTGTACGCCTATATGAGGGAAGGACGGGATGTTATAGTCCACCATCTGGGTGATAATCTTCCCTCATGAAGCTTCTAATAAATCAGAATTGGACATAGGACTGGTAATACTTGATTTGCAGTTATATTAGCAATTCACTGAGCTATAAATTATTGTTGTTTAGGAATGTTAAAGAAAGACTGCTCAAGTTTGAGGCAATGATTCCTAGTATCGCTAGAAACATTTCTAAAAACCTACATCTTTAAATTCTTCTTGGAATATGCTCCATTATGGATCAAGGCATGCCATACCTAATTTGATCTCAGATGAGAACATCATGCTGGTTTTAAATTTGGGGCATCATCAATATGTTAGGCCATATGATTTACATAGCTGCAAAAATTCTTGCTAATAGATTCTTATGTGTTAGTGATACAACACCCTTTGTGACATATTCATATATTTTTTCTTGCCCTATTTCGTGTTAAACTTAAGTTGCATGGGTTTTTCTTAGGAAATGTGTAGGTAGTGAGAGAGTTCCAAACTTGTTATAAATTTTGTCTCTATTTTACATAGCTTATATCATCTGTAAGACTCTATGTGTGACATGCATATGATTTTAATGTAGTCACTCAGGAATGTAATGGTAGCTAAGATGTTCTCTGTACATATAAATGTTTGATCTTGGTTAGCTTCTTGTTTCGTTAAAGGGAGGCGAAACCTCAAGGTAATCAATAAGATCTAGTTTAGGCATCCTGGAGCTTCACAAGAATCATATTATAGATATATACTGTTTTGACTTGTTATATTTTCTTGGATTTTCACGGTGACATTTTTGTGATTACCACAGAGAGTATGGATCTATAAACTGTATATCTTTTATTCTTTGATAAAATTAGCAAGTCGTTAAATAGTGATCCTTAGAGGAATACTCAATAGCATAAAGTATTCCAATAGATTTTATTTTTTGTTTATTATTTACCAAGTTGCTGTTACATGTAGTTGGTACTCCTTGGGGATTCTGGAGTTGGCAAAAGTTGCATTGTCCTACGGTTTGTTCGTGGCCAGTTTGACCCCACATCCAAGGTAAGGTGCTCTCTCTGTTATGAATGAGTCGTATCATTAAAAAACATGCTTATAAGCTTATGGTTCCCTTGTTTATCACCTTGGCTTTGCTTAACTGATATCTTTGTTCACGGATGTTTGTTTAGACTTCAGAAAGGATGCAATCATAAATTATGTAGATGTGCTTCCATTTATGCTTGCTTTGCTTTTATACTTTTCATGAGCTTCAGGTAACAGTTGGTGCATCTTTTTTGTCACAAACAATAGCCCTGCAAGATTCTACAACAGTGAAGTTTGAAATATGGGATACTGCCGGCCAGGAGAGGTTGGTGATGAATTTTCAACCAAATTCTTATATGTTAAAATGCATTATAATTCTTACTGTGCATACAAATTTTGTTTTCTTTATTCCCTATTTTTGCCTGGAGAAAAATGATTGAAATGTTAGAGAAGTATATGGATACATCTATCTTATGTAGTGCCTAACTCATATCCCAAGGAACAAAAACTACATACTGGCATAAATGGCTAATACTGTAACATTCCTTCTGGCCTTTATCTTCAGGTTCATTTACTTTGCTTCACTGACTTTTAATTTCTAGTACCTTCTTTAGAGTAACAAACCTCCACTGAAAGCTGGTCACGTGATCTGAAAATCTGATTTATACCCCTGAAACCCTCCCAAATTCTGTGTATCCTATACTGGAGGCTTCTCATGTGTATGCGTGTATTTACATTCTCTTCAAATATTGATATAATGTTAACCTTCTCCCCTCATCAGATATGCTGCATTGGCCCCCCTTTACTATCGAGGAGCTGCTGCTTCAGTCATTGTCTACGATATAACAAGCATAGAGTCCTTCCATAAAGCACAATACTGGGTTAAGGTATTTCTTCTTTGTGGCCTTCTTGTGATTTAAAGATATCTAAAGGTGTGTATTTTGTACATCTTTTAATATACATTTCCATTTTCCTTCTTGAGTTCATTTGTTCATATGCAAAATTCTGAGGATAAATAAAATCTGAATCTGTTTTCCTCTATGAAGAAAAGAAGAAAAGCAATTGAGTGAATGTTGATCATTAATTATAAAAGTAGGAAAGGAAGGCAAATATGTGGGATGACATGACAACCAGATTTTTCAGTTATATTCTTGTTCATGAGTGGACTCCATCAGGCAGGTGGAGGCCGACTTTCTCATGCATTTGCTAGTTGACACGAAATAGACACTACAAGTTCTTAACATAAATTGTATTCATTATGAAATTCCTGCTTGAAGTAGATACATCATGCAAATTGTTATCTTCCTCACTTAAACCTGCACATGATTGAGAACTTGAAGACATGGCTTCAAGGAGTTTTTAAATCAAGCTCTCATTTGCTTCTATCCACATAAATATTGGCAGGATGTGGTCAATAGATATGATGATACTTTTGTTACAGCAAGGTGATCATGTTAATGTAATGTATGCCTTAGTTTCCATTAGCGGTTTCCTTCCTTTCTTTCTTTCGTTTTTTCTTTATTTTTCTGTGTTAGTGTGAGGACAGTACAAGGGTTTCCTTGGAGGTTGCCATCCTGGTATTCGGAGAGCTTTCTTAACTTCGGATCTAACATGGGGTTCTGTGCACTTGTTCAACAGTACCGAACTTGTGGGGGAATGTAAATGATGTGTTAAACTTTATTTATATATACTTCATAAGGAGCGTTTCTATTATCTGAACATAAACTATGACATGGTATCACAGCATTGGCCAATCTAAGGACTCAAGTTATTGACTTATCATGAAAGCTGGTACCCAAATCTTAGCTGAATGGTGGCCAGGTCTCTTCTCCATAGCCTTGGACAGATCTGCCCATTTGAGGGATTACATGGACGGAACAAGTGTTCCGTTGGTATGGAATCCGGTATTTAGAAGGGCTGTATCAGAATACAAAGCCTGAATATTCTTGGCCCTACAACAAACTTTGAACTTTTACTTTGGTCCTCTTGATGGTGATGATTGACATGTATGGGGCCCTTCACCCAATGGTGTCTTCTCGGCAGCTTCCTTCTAGTCATTGCTGCAGCCAGTTCAGCCTCCTCAATCCTGTCCTTTGTGAGATATGGTCAGTCCCTTTGCCCCTAAAAGATTCAGGCCTTTGCTTGGCAGCTCCATCTACCTAACCGCTGCATAATCTGCCAACAGGATGAGGAGACTGCCACACAATGACTCCTCTTTGGGTTCTACTAGTGGAACTCTTTGACCTCCTATGGCTCTATCCACAGAACTTGAGGCAACTCTTCGCATATCTCCCCCTGCTGCTCTCCAAAGCAGGTCGCAACATTTGAAGAGGGGAATAGGCCATTTTCGATATTTTTGGTCATTGACCTTACATGCACTTGTGAATATGCTATTTTCTAATGGAAGCATGCTGATGATATTATTACATGAGGACATTCCTAGTACAACAAAGTGCGCAGTTCTTTTGAGATGAATGTTTAATTCCTCTCAATGTTTACTCTGATTGGCAAGCCAGTTTGCAGTGCTACTTTTTGCAGACAATTAGTGGTTAGCTTACACTATCTCACTATTTCCAGCCCACAATTGAATCTGGTCTTGTTTTTGTGTTTGTGCGTGTGCAGATTTTTTTTTTTTGGTTTCTTTTTATGAAGCCCAGGTGTTCCGCTGTTTGAGATGTATATAAAGTTTACTATCTGGATGACTGATATTCTATTGATGACTTTGGTGCATGCCTGTTGATGCCCCTTTTTGTTTTCTTTTATCAGTACCTGGTTCATCCTTTTTCTGCATGATTTAATTTGAGCTCTCAGATACATTAAGCTTCCATCCCATATTTTCCTCATGTGGTTTAGTTTCGATCCCATCTTTTTCTTTATGTGTCTTAGCGGCAAGATCAAAATGTAACCATCTTAGAGCAAAACCTTTTAATTGGAAATATGATACGGATTGATTTCCCTGGAGTGAATTAGACATCAATCTCCAAGCGACACTTCTTAGCCATTATAGTGCAGTACTTCTGTCGCCTTATTCTTGGTACCGAGTCCCAGGCTTGAGCCTGTTCCCCTTTGCCATCCTAAGTAATTTTCACCTATTTCACCTTGAAAAACCAGATAACGGTTGTCTTTCTACTTACCATGAACTATCTAAATTTATATGCCAATTTCAGCTTCTATGATTTCAAGGCATTTCCATTCCAAACCTTCTTCATGAAGAAGCCTTGAAATTTGTAATGTGACATGCATTTCACTGTAACATATGAAGTCTTCTTCACAGGTGTATACTGAGGGGTATTCGTGTGTATTCTTGGGGCTGAAAGAGTAAAATCCAATCAAATCAGCAGAATATAGCCAATGTTACCTAGACACTTGATATAAGGGTTGGTGTCACGTGTTGACACTTCGACATGTGTTGACGCATAGACATGAGTTTGATACGGTGACCGTATATATCGGGCATTTTTGTAATGTTTTAGTGCGTTTGACATGTTATATTAAAGTGTCGTCTGTTTTTTAACTTCAGAAACTTGAGGTTGTTGGCGGTAGAGTGGCTTCTTCTACCTCAGAAGTCACAATATCAGGTCCTGTTTTTTGAAAAGGTCTCCAATTCAGATCCCAAGGAGTACCTTTTTCTAAAGAGTTTTTAAAAACATCACGGTGGTCCATGTTGCCTTTTTTTAAAAGCTCTAAAACACTGCCAATCTGCATCAAGATTTGAACCCTTGGCGTATTGCAAATTTTAAGGGCGATCGTCAAGCAAAGCCACCATAGATGACTACTTTTTTTAAATAATTGATTACATAATAGATATAGTTCTTAACTATGATATGGTTATTTGTTAAGAAAAAACACCTTAATAAAAAAAATACATCAATGGACTTTTTCTTTTAAAATTATTTTGAAAATATGATACAGCAACAACGGTCTTTGTTACCTTTCTTGCATAAAATAAACTTATAGTTTCTAGTTTTTTATTTTTATATTTTAAGTTTATCCATTATACACACACACACACCATTCATGCTTTCCTCTTATTCTGCTTTTCCTCAAATTCAAACGATCTAGTGTATGTGGACACCTTTGATACTATGGGTCCTCCAACTGATTCATTCCCGAACTGGGCAAATTAAAGAAATTTGTATGACCCAATGCCTATAGGCGAAAATGAATAGTTATTTCGCCTACTTTCATCACTTCCAAAGTTCATTGTACGGTCACGATTGTCCGGTAGTGTTTCATTTTTAATTTTTTCTACAAATCGGAATGACGTGAAATTTGAAGCGTGTGTACAGCTTAGTGAGGCGCACCTAATAAAAATATAAAAAAAATAATTCGCGAAAAAAAATTGAACAAAATACCCTCGAAAAGTTTTGGAGGCATTTTGGTCAATTGTTTTCATGTAAAATATTTTTTTGATATTTTTTCGTAGATTCGTCTATTTTTGATGAACACACGTTCCAAATTCCAGGTCATTCTGATTTGTAGAAAAAAAAATGAAAAATGAAACACTACGGGATAATCGTGACTGTGCGATGAACTTTGGATGGTAATGAGAGTAGGGGAAATCATTGTTCATTTTTGCCACTAGGCGTTTTGTGGTATCTTCCTATATATATTTATATGGAAATCACTG